AAAAAAAAAAAAAAAAAAGGGAATTTGGACAGACTCACACACATGGAGAACGCTGTGTGAAGACTGGAGTGACACTGCCACAAGGAACTACCAGAAACTGCAAGAGGCCTGGAGCACTGCCTGCCAATGTTTGACCTCAGACCTCCAGCCTCCAGAGCTGAGATGATGCATCCTGCTGTTAAGCCGTCCTGTCTCTGATGCCTTGTCCTGGTGGCTCCAGTGCATCACACATGGTGAGGGCAGCAGCTCTGCCTGTGGGAGCCAGTGGTTCATTGTGGAGCTTCCCCAAGGCTGAGCCTGAAAGACTCAGGAGCCTGAATGTCATCTATTATCTGTCATCCATCAACCATCTGTCCATCCCTAAAATATCTTCACACAAACCATGAACATCCTCAAAGCACTGTGGCCCTGAGTAGGGCGGGGGGCAGAGGGAGAGTGCATTGATCAGTTGGCATCATTTTCAGCATACAGACGATTGGCTGGGTGGATTCCATGGTCAAGGCTGACCAGTCTACACATGTAGGGTCTGTGTGGGCAGGCAGAGCTGGTGGTAGTAACATCTGGCCTTACTAGGGGAGGGCTGGGCCAAGGGGTTCAGGGGATATGGGGCATAGTCAACCTGGAGGGTGTGTGAATAGTCACAGCATCCCTGCAGTGGCTGGAGGAGGCATGAAGGTCACCCACACACAGGGAAGAGGGGCCCTGGGCACAGACACTTGGGAGCTTAAAAGGAGGTGGGTTCAAAGCCTTTATTGGACTGAGAGGCCTGGGGACCCTCAGAACTCAGGGGTGGGGCAGGTGAGGAGGGGGTCTAGGGAGGGCAGGTGAGAGCTGGCAGGGACCCTTCCAAAAGGGCTACAGCATGGACCCCAAGTGCTGTGGGAGGCCAACTGGGCCTGTGGAGGGTCTACAGCTATTGGAGCTCAAGATGTGGCATGAGAAAGTCCAGGGTGGTGTGAGCAGGATGGAGAAGAGAGCCTGAGTGGGTGGCTAGGGGTGCTGGGAGCTGCAGGTAGGAGGCCTTGGGCTATGTGAGCTCCCCTCCCAGCTTCCACAGAGACCTGCACCCCCACCCGCAAGGGGCCCTCCTGGCAGCGGACCCTGAGTCTGCAGTCTGGCCAGACCGCTAGGCAGGGGTCTGTTTAGCACCGTGGACGGGAGGTGGGCTCAGGACCCGACTACTGGAGTAAGGGGACCACACACAGGCAGGGCCCGCGGTGGGGCTAACAGATCCACCGGATGAACCTGTCGAAGAAGCCAGGCTGTGCCAAACTGTCATAATCCTTCTCTCGGAAGATGGCTGCGCGGTCACCCAGGCTGAGGGTGGTGAGCATGTCCATGTCCACGTCACCACCCACGGCCACCACGGTGGGCACCACGTTCTGCTTGCGCATAGAGTGCACTGACTCCTCTAGGCTATTGTTGCCAGTGACGCCGTCCGTGAGGAACACGAAGGACAGCTCGGCGTGGCGGCGAGCTCCTCCACGTGCACCACGCACAATGTTGTTGATGGCATGCACAATGCCCGTGCCCACGTGTGAGAAGGAGTTGAGGTAACGGGCGCCCTCTAGCGCCTCATGGATGACTGTTAGGTTGGAGGTGAGTGGGAAGGCCACCTGCTGCTCACCCTGGCCTCCATACTGTAGCAGTGCCACGCGTGCGTTGAGTGGGTCATCATCCCGGCGTGCCAGTGTCAGCCTCCGTGACACCTCCTCCACGAAGTGCCGGGCCTTGTGGAAGTTCTGCTCACCCAGCCGCTCGGAGCCATCCAGCAGGAAGACGATGTCCACGGGCCGCTGTGTGCACTGTGCCACATATAGCTCTGCGGGGAGACCGTGGGGGTGGGGCTGGGCACGAGGTGACCTGCTCAGCCAAGCCCTGCTCTGCCTGAGCCTTCTTCCACTTGCTCCCCACCCGCTAGACCCCATGGGCTGAATGCTAAGCTATGGGGGTTCACCCATAGCCAATGGCAGGGCACCGACTGTAGTCCTGAGTGTGGGGTCTTGGCCAGGCACCTGTAAGGGCTGCACCAGGAACATCTCTTTGATTCCTGCCACTGGCCCCTGCTCATCACTCCCCCAGGATACATTCCCAAACCTGAGTGCCAGAGACTCATCAGAGGCCATAGGCCCCGTTCTGCCCCCTAAGTACTATCTCAGCTTAGAGTACCTCCTTCTGGCCATCTTGGGAGGTAAGGGGTCAAAAAAGCCCTTTGGCCAAGAATTTGCTGTCCACAAAACAGCTACCATCATGGCCTTTCTGGTCAGAAAGACCCACACCCAGACATCCCCAGCATGATACATTTGCTCGCTTGGGTTCAGAGGTACCAGTCTGCATCACAAGCCACAGCTCCCCATGGCCTGGCCAGCCACATTTTTCCTGGAAACCAGGAGCCCCCCGAGTCCCCTCTGGCTATAGGTACAGTGGCCAAACACACAGGTGGGTTCCGACCCAAGACTGCCCATTACCAAGAAGATTCCTGCCCTGCCTGGAACCAGCCTTGGACACTCCAGGCAAAGTAGAGGCCGGGCTACAGCTGTGTGTTTAAGCTTTTGTGACATATCTGTGACAATCCACCCACATCTGGCTCCCTGAGCCAGGGCTGCTGGCAAGGGGCAGGGGAGTCTTTCTTAATGATCTTGTTCCATTTGAAGCCCACCCACCCTGGCACTTGCTCACAGGCCCTAGAAAGTTTTGGGGCACTGCCTGGCTTCCTGAAGCCCCTCTAGTAATATTTTCACTGTCACCACAGACACAGAGACAGACACGCAGCTGGTTTAGGGGATTTCTGCAATGTGTTGTTGGTGGACCTTGGACGAGATGCACCATCTGGCTGTGGCTCTGGCAGGCTTGAGAGCTATGGGCCCCGCTCTTTCCTTTTGTGGGTGCCTTTCTCCTGGGTCCCAAGCAGGAAGTCTGTCCTGGCCCACTCAATGCAGTTGGAGTGGGAACGAGACCCCATCCATGAGAAAGGATCATACGCTGAGCACAAGGGGTACACAGATGGGAGCATGGGCAGAAGCCACACACAGGAGGAGGGTTTCTCAGGCAGTCAGAATGTTTTGGGTCTGGGCTTGCCTTGGGGCACTACCTTTTCAATGGGTTACTATGCTGCTGCCTGGACAGGAGGGCTGCCCCACATGGATGTCACCATCATTCTTAGCTCAGGTCACCAAGGACAGCAAATGTCATGCCTGGTGGGTGCCCCTCCACCTTCTGGATACCCAGAAGCTGCGTGGGAAGTGTGCAGATGCCCCAGAGGCCAGCACTTTAGCATAATGGATGTGATGCCAGCTCAAAGGTATCTGGCACCAGGTCCCATGAGGACTATCTGCCACCCAACCTGGCTGCCTTCACACTGCGCCAGGCCAGCACATGGGGCCATACCCCCTCTCTCCAGGCTGCCGCAGTCTCTGAGGTTTGTTTCTCAGGCTCATGCTGAAGTGGGCAGGGGCAAGGTCCCCAAGCCCCAGGGCTGCACTCCTCCCGACTTCGCCCCTAAACGCAGCTCAGCTGGATGGGGGGTGTTGTGGGGAGCTAAATTCCTAATTCCTGAAGCCTGTGATGTGAACTTATATGGCGAAGAAGGACTCTGAAAACAGGATAAAATTAGGGATCTTGGGATGTGATTATCCTGGATTTAGGGCAGGCCTCATTTTCAGTGACTAGCAATCTTAAAGAAACAGGAGGACATGTCGAGATGGAAGCAGACAGGAGATGTGGCCACCAGCCAAGGATCGCAGCAGCCCCTAGGAGCTGGAAGAGGCAGGGAGGACCCCCAACCCAGAGCCTCAGAAGGGAGCATGGCCCCATGGACTCCACGGAGTTGGACTTCTGCCTCCAGACTGAGAGAGAAAATGCCCTCTGTCCTATTGCTCCAGTCCTGGTAGGCAGCCCTGGGAAGCTACACAGCTGGGAGAGGGCCCAGCCATGGCTGTGTGGGCAGCACATGGCTTCAGCAGAGTGCCAGTGCGGTCTCGGGGTCACCCACGATGTCCCTGTGCACCAGCTTGAAGGTGTCAATGAAAAGGTCCATCCAGTCTTGCCGCTCCACCCCTGTGGCGAACTTGGCCCGCTCAGCAGTGTAGACCAGCACGGCTACCAGCTGTGAGTAGGCGGCTGGGTCCTGTGTGAACTCCGTGGCGTTTAGCAACTGTTGGATCAGGGGGATGGTCCTGGGGAAGGCGTTGTCCGGTCCTTCTTCCGTGCGGAGGAAGGTGACCGGGGGCTCGCCTCCAGGCCACTGTCCATCTGCAAGGGAGTGTCCAGAGAAGATTCTGAGGGCCCTGGATGGGTGTGGGCAGCCTTCATCTCCTTCTTGGACTGGCGCAGAGTTAGGACCAGAAGGAGGAGCTGCTGGTTGGGCAGCATGTGTGGAGGCGACGCCATAGCCAGTGTCCTGGCCTCATCGGGAGGCATTCGGGTGAGGCGGGGAATGGGGAGTGGGGGCCATACTGCCAGGATGGGGGGCAAAGGGGTACCTCAGGGACACTAGAGATGCTGGGAAACCTCTGGGATGGAGCAGCTCTGACTAAGGCTGCACTGAGATGCAAGCACATGCCTGCTCAGCTTTTAGCAGCTTGAGGCTGTGTCCCCAGGGAGACCACAGCCCCCCTTAAAACACCCCATGAGAAACTGGAGTTATAGACCCTTCCTCTACACCTGATGACATGAATCTTCTGTCACCCAGAACCATCTCCTTGAGATTCTGATAATGTCTCTGAATGCAAATAGCCAGGGCGGTCTCTGTCTCTGTCTCCCTGTCTCTGTTTCTATCTTTCTGTCTGTTGCTCTGTCACTGCGATTCATCTCTCTGTCTGTGCCTTTTGTCTTTCTGTTGCCGTCTATCTCTCTGTCTTTGTCTCTGTTTCTATCTCTCTATATCTCTACCTGTGTCTCTTTCTTTGTCTACCTCTGTGTCTCCATCTCTGCATCTCATCTCTCTGTGCCTTTGTCCCTCTTTTGCTGTCTGTCTCTGTGTCTATCTCCGTCTCTGCCTCTGTGTCTCTTATCTCTTCCTTTGTCTATCTCTGTGTCTCCCTGGCTCTGCATCTCTGTGTCTCTATCTCTTTATGCCTCTATTTCTCTATCTCTGTCTCTCTCCCTGGCTCATGCACCTGTAGGATGGGAGGCCTGGCTTTGGGAAGGCCTTGCTCTAACTCACCTGCTTTGTGGCCTCTTGTCAGGAGAATCTAACTTTGTTTCTCTCAAGAGTAAGTGCTAATTAGCTAATTAGCACACATACATGTGTGCACATGGAGACCTGCCTGGCCATGGAAACTAGCCCTTGGAGCCCTTCACTCCTTTTTTTTAGAGGCCCTAGGGGTCCCCACTTTTTGTTTCTACCCAGCTGAACTCAGGTAACACTGAAGGCTCTCCTGATGCCTTTCTTGTAGGAGCTGGTGCCTGGTTGTTTTCTCTGACACTCCTAGGCCCCCACACCACTGAGGCTATCCATTGGCCTGGTGCCAGCCAGGGGCAGCTGGCTTCTGGGAGGACAGGGTTGTCTAACCTCAAGGGTCAGGGCCAGGCCACAGCTAGCAGCATCTGCCCAGCACTGCCTATAGCCCACAAGTGCCAGTGGCGGTGTTTTGCCAGGATATGGTGGGATGCCCATTCCTACCAGCTGCGACACTTCACAGCATTAATAGAGCATGAGCTTTGTAAGTCTGGTAGAGCAGGGGTCTAAGGGGGATGAGAAGGTGGCACTGGCATCCACTCTCTGGGTTCACATGGGGTGCTCACTGTCATGCCCTGGAGCTCTAGGGGCAGCCAGAGTCTTGAGCTCCTCGTTTTCTCCCAGCCTGGCTTTGCCTCAGCCCAATGACCTAAGGTGCCCTGTGAGGCCAGCGTCACCTATACCCAAACAAGACAAAGGCACCACAACTGCTAATCAGTGTTTCTCCTGATTAGATGAAAAAATCCTCAAAAAAACTAGGAAATCCAGTCCCACAACATATAAAAATATGACATACTGCAACCAAGGCTGGCTTAACCTTTGGAAACCAGTCAAGGTGACCATCACGTCAACAGGCTGAAGACAAGAAACCACATGACCCATAACAGGTGCAGAAAAAGGCTCTGGCAAACCCAGTGCCCACTTGCAATGCAAACTAGGAGTGGGGATGCCCGCAATCCAATAGGGGACCTCATCTATGGCTAATGTCATCCTGAGGGGAGAAAAGTGAAGCCATCCTGCCCAGGCCAGGATGAGGCAGAACTCTTGCTCTATACTCAGGCACAGGCAGATCCCAGGGCTGATGTCAGCATCAGCCTCCTCTGTGCAGACCCTGGTGGAGCCTCTTGGGGAGCCCACACTGTGGGGGACTCCAGCACCCTAGGGGCAGGGCCCCCCCGAATGCTGCTGCTCTTTCACTTGGGGGTCCACCTTGGAAGCCAGTGCCTATAGCTAGGGTGTTGGTAAGGCCCCCTCGCCTTCTGCAGAGACATGGCTGGCGCCACCTGCCTGGCTCTAGGTACTACGTGCTGTCCCCAGCCAGCCCTGGGTGGGCAGCTGAGACCAAGGCACAGCTGTATCCAGTGCTTCCTCAGGAAAGCTCTCTGCTGCAGCACGTCTGGGGACCCCTGATTCCTAGTCCATGTAGCTCCTCCCTCCTCCAGTGGTCTCTGACCTGTCGGCACTCTTAGAGCACCTCACAGTATGAAGGTCCTTGCCCTGTCTCTGTGGCGGCCATACCTTCCAGACCTGGCTCTGAGGCCACCACCTTAATGTCTCTGGGAGAGGACAGCGCTCACTGAAGGGGAAGCTTGGCTCCTGGCACCCTGGCACCTCTAGGAGACCTGTCCTACGACAGTTGTAACTGTGTGGCAACAGCCACGACATGCAGCAGAGAGGGGGCGATGTCCTTGCCCCAGCCTTGGATGCCCTTCGCTCTAGCCCCAAACCTGTGTGGGCCACAGCACAACCACATGGGGAACAAAATGCCATGAGCAAACACCCCTGTCCCCAGATGTGTCAGCCCTGGGGCAGTTCCAGACCAGCCAGAGACCTAAAGCTCAAGGGTATCCTTGCCCAGACTTCCCCACAGCCCTGGCTCTCAGGAAGGAAGGATGCCTCCTCCAAGGCTCCTCCAAGGCCAGGTGAGAGGCTCAGGTGCTTGGTTACCTGTTTGGCAGGGAAGATCTGGACACACGATCTGAGGGTCTAGAAGAAAGGAAAGAGCCCGAGGCCATCATCAGTCCCTAATAGGTCCTCAATAGCTGCTCACTGACCTGCCCACAGACAGGGCTCAGGGAGCAGCCAGACTCTGCCCACCCATGATGGTCCCAACTCCTTCCCTCCTGGATGCCTGGTGTCCCGGGCTGCATGTTTGTCCTTTGGAATAGGGGTCCCTTGGGGCTCGTGCTGGGTAGCCACAGAAGAGCACACTGCTCCCTGGGGGCCTGGCCACCCCTGCCCCATGAGGCCCCTGTGGCCACCTGCCTGTGCAGACACTACACTGCTCACCTGGGCAGAGGACATCTTCCATGTCATCAATGAACTTCTCAGCCACGAGATCGGAGAAGAGCGTCATGTTGCGCACCTGCTGTGGCTTGTCGCAGGCAATGGAGTAGAGGTTTTCACTCTCGTGCTTCTCGTGGAACATGTCACCAATGCCGATGGCTGTAACCGTGACATCACGGTCACACAGCGCCCGCAGGTTGAGGTCATCGTCGCGTGGGTCATGGCGCCCATCTGTGATGACCACTGCGAACACACGTGTCTTCTGGCGCCGGCTTTCCTTGATGAGTCGGTCGTAGGCAAACTTGAGGGCAGAGGGTGTCCAGGTGCCACCCGCAATCCACTCGAGGTTCTTGACAGCTTCCTTGAAGCTGGACAAGGAGTCAATGCGCTCATCATCCAGCTGGATGGCCTCGAAGGTGCCCTCATGGCTGTACTGCACCACACCTACTCGTGTCCCTGCAACAGCCCGCGCAGTATGAGCCTGCTGCCCGCTTCACCTGGCGTCCTCAGCTCAGCTACCTCAAATGCAGGATCACATGGCGCCAGGCCAAGACCAGACCCTCCACCAAAGGGACATGGCCTATTGCCTGTTGCTGCCCCTGGGCCTCCCACCTGTACCCTCACTGACCTGTTTCCGATTTGGGGTCCTTGGCAATGGCCCCTAGCCTGTTGACCACGTTGATGACGAAGTTCTTCTCCAGGGTAAAGTTGGTGTAGCCAATGCTCTCAGAGCTGTCTATGACGAAGACCACATCTAGGGCGCCACAACGCTTCTCACAGTCTAGGAGGGTAGCAGCGTCAGCAGGTAGGTGCTTGGGAGCCATGAGAGACCCCCAACCCCAGGGTGCAAGGCCAGATGCATGGTGCCAGGACTTGTATGTTGAACCAACCCCAGGCTACACATGGCTCCTTCACATGGTAGAGCGTGGCCCTGACCCTATCCGCCATGGGCAGTAACTCACCACAGCACCCGCAGGTCTCTCTCACATAGGTCATGACGTCACATTCCTGCAACACGGCGCATCAGGGCAGCAGGCCCCAAAACAAGGCGTGTCAGGGCAGCAGGCCCAAAGGAAGTTCCGAGTGAGGGGACCAGGCAGACATCCAGGTTCATGTGTGGAGAGAGCCATGGGGGGGGGGTCTGGTAAGTTTTGCCCCTGCTGCCCTCACAACTGACATTGCACTCCAACCTTTCCCTTCTGTCCTCACCCTTGCTGACCACCCCCTGCACTTACATAGTATTTTTACCCCAGGTGTCACCTACCGTGAGGCCAGGGTCTCCAGGGGGGCCGGTCTCACCCTGAAGAAGCAACCATGACAGTGAGAAGCAAAACCTGTTGGGGCCATGGCTGAGTGGCCCAAGGCATTCCTAGGCCATGGCCCACTGACCCCTAGACCCGCTGCAGGCAGAACAGGACTCTGGCACATAGTGGCATAGCTATCCTGAGTCTGAGGGGCATAAGGACCAGCCACCAACCTACCTCGGGTCCTGGGACTCCTCTTGGCCCCCGAGGGCCTGGCTCACCAGGTGGACCAGGATCAGCCTAGGAGAACAAGGGTAGGTGGGCTTCAGTGGTCATGCTGGGGTAGGCCCCGGATGCATCAGGTCTCTGCCTCTGTGCTCTCTGCCTATGGACCCTACTTGGGAAGTCTGACAAACATAAGGACTGAGGTGAGGCTGCCTTGCCTATCTCAGCTGTGCTGGCATCATGCCATGAATGTCTTTGCATGGAGTGCCTTGACAGGCTGCTGTCATAGATGGGGCTGCCAGAGGGACAGAGAGGCCTAGAGAGGCCTACTATCACAGAGATGGCAGCTGAAACAGCTCAACCTGGCCCTCAGCTGTCCCCATCCACTGACCCATCTGTCCTCCAACCACCCACATAGCCTGTTCATGGCCACTTGTTCTTTGTCTTACACTTGCTAAGTGCTCAGTTTATCCATAGCCCTTGGGAAACACTTGCCAGTAGTAGGAATATGAAGGCCCACAGCACACAGACCTGAGCCTGCTAACAGGCACCAAGTGGCAAATGTGTGGGCCACAATGATTTGGAGGATGGTCTGCAGGTCAGTGCACATGTGTGGGAGACAGTGTGCCTGTGTAAGACAATGTGTGTGTGTAGGGGTGGACTGGGGGACGGTATGTATATGGGGGATGGTGTTTGTGTGGAGGACAGTGTGGGGGATAGTGTGTGAGGGATGACGGGTATGTGGAGATGATGTGTTTGGGGGGGACAGGGTGTGTGTGGGGGGTGGTGGGTGGGATGGGGGCTGGGGGAGAGACAGGCTGGCATCCTTTTGGGCACCTTCAGATGCACCTGCTCATCCTCCAGTCCTCTCCCTCACTCCTGCCCCACTGCCTAGGGCTGCCGCAGGACACTTACAGGTTCTCCCTTCTCTCCTTTCTTCCCAGGTCTTCCTTTCATACCAAAGTCGCCTCGGCCTCCCTGTGACACAGAACACAAGTTAACCCAGGACAGAGAGTGGTCCTGCTGTTTCCCACACCCACTTGACCCTCCAAGGCCTTTGATAGTCTACCAGGGACACAGACTTGCTTTGCCTCAGGAAGAATGTGTGTCTGGCAAGTCACAACGTTACATGGCAACATCCAGGAACTTTTTTCAGGCAAGCCCCAATTTTTGGTTTGAAAGGGACTAGCTGGTGGCCAGCTATCCCCACCCAAAACTCGGTCAGAGTTGCATGGCCTGGCCTTGAGGAGCAAGGACACACCCTGTGACAGTTCGACAGTGTTCATGGCTTTCCCTGCCACAGCAGATGGGTGTTTAGGCCCCCTCCCTTGGGTGGGGGCAGGAAGAGGGCCCACATACCTCGGGGCCTTGAGGGCCAGGCTCGCCTTTTTCTCCCTGTGAAGCAACAGAGGTCAGTGTACCTTGGCCAGAGACGTGGTGTCTGACCTCCTGGGAAGCTGGAGCCTCCTGCAGCCCCACCTCCCTTTCTCACAGGACCCTGGTTTTCAGTTCATGCTAAAGCTCTGATAGGCTTTGGGTGAACACTCTGCTCTGATGATGAGCTATGTCTGAGACTGAGGACCTTGTTCTGCCTCCTAGCACCTGGGCAGACCTGCCTCTACACTGAAGGACCCTTGTGCCTCCTCTTCACCCTCCCTGTCACCCAGGAGGGGTGGCACAGAGGAGGCCTCCAGGGAACTATTAGGAACCTTCCATACCCTCCTGGAGATGTCCAGGCCTCTCCTGGGGGGAGGGTCCCTGTCCCATGCCATGACTCACAGGTGTTCCTCGGGGTCCTGGGTAGCTGAATCCAGGTCTGCCGGGGTCTCCCTGGAGGAAGAGACATGAACTGAGGATGGGTTGGGGTGGGGGCTGTACCTAGGAGGTGCAGGTATCCACTGGTGTGAAATGACAAGGTGGGGGGCCGTCTGGGCTGGCTCTGAGAGGCCCTGGAGCTACCTCCATAAACAGGGAAGACAAAGCACAGACTGTGTGGCTATCACATGGTCAGCTCACCCCTTGGGGCCTTGCCTTGGGAAGCCCAGGCCACTCACACCAGGGGTGGATGCTGAGGGAGAAGAGCTAGGGAGCTGCTTGGTCCTCTGAGGTGCCCCGGGGTCAGGCCTGGACCTTGCCCAGCAGCCTCACACTAGAGGTGGGGAACGCAGGCTTAGGCCCTTCCCCAAGTCCATCTGACAGTGGCAGTACCCTGAGGCTGGCATGCCTGTCACCTTCCTCTTGGGCTGCCTCCTGGGACAGCTGCCCTACTCCTGTCCCATCTTGCTGGGCCAAGAGGGTCATACCTTGGGGCCAGGTTGTCCCGAGTCTCCACGGGGCCCAGCATCACCAGGGTCTCCCCGAGATCCCTAGGACAGAAGAGAAATCGGAGTCAGCAAAGATGGGTATGAACCAGGGCCAGTGTCACCTGATATGCTCAGTCCAGTTCTGACCACTAGGGAACACTGTTCAGCATCCTGTATTGCCATGAGGGGAATGTGGACTTGTGTTCTGAGAGTCCCAGCTGCCCCACATCACATGCCCACCCAAGCCCCGTAGCCTGTTCTCTTGACACCCCCAACTGGTGGGGCAGGGAGAGGACCCAGAGGGCACCTCTAGGGCAAGATGAGGGAGACTAAGGCTGAGGTGGGGGAAGCCCTGGTTTCCAGAGTTCTGGTGACATTGTCTGGGTTTGTCATGGGGACAGTGGTGGCAGCCAGCCTACCCTGTCCCCAGATAGGAGCCCAACTAGTGCTATGGGGCTGGGGTGGACCTTGAGGTGGGAAATCAGAGGGGCTCCAGCTGCCCTACCACTGACCTGCTTCCCAGGCTCCCCAAAAGCTCCCTGGGGGCCTCTGGGTCCAGGCAATCCTCGGTCTCCCTGGAAAGAAATAGGATGAGGCTGGAGTCCTCTGGGCACCCCAGAGACCCCAATGTCAATCCTGCGGACACTGGTAGGGTCTGGGGTGTGAGCCCAGACCTGTCCCGCCCCTGCTCCTGTGGCCTTCTAGGAAGTTCTGGCCTAGTCCTCAGTCCTGACCATACAGAGCCTGAGCAGTGGTGACTGGGGGGGCAGGAGGAAGGCAGACAGGGTCCCAGAGGTTGGGGAGGGGCAGGCTGGGGGTGGGCAAGCAGGGCTCCCCAGGGCCTGGGCCCTGCCCCGTACTTACCTTGGCTCCTTTGCTCCCCACTTCTCCAGCCAGGCCCCGGGGCCCCTCAGGGCCAGGGTCCCCCTGTGAGAGAGAGGCTGGTAGAGGCTCAACTGGGTCCTGGGTTCCACCTGAGAGGTGGGTGTGGCCCAGGCATGGAGATCCCTGTCTGCTCTAGAGTCTCCAAGGAGTGACACCCTCATGATGAAGCCCTGGGAGTCATCTTTGTTTCCCTAGAGCAGACACAGCCAGCACTCCCATCCCCCTATGCACCTCACCTTCTCCCCCTTGGCTCCATCACTGCCAGGGCTGCCCTTGGCTCCGGGGTCTCCCCTGCGCCCCTGCAGAAATCAGGAATGTTAAGGGGAGTGGCCCCCAGAGCCCTGTGAGCCAGAGGCCCGGAGCCCCTGTGGGGCCCTGATGCTCTGCTCTCTCCAGGAAGACTCTGGCTTTGGGGTCTAGGGACTGAGCTCTGGGGCTCCTCCCAGATGGGCTCTCCTGGGCCTGTGGGCTGCATCCTATACCTTGGTCCTTTTGCCACATGGGTCCTGTCTGGTCAGGCTGTAAGCCCTGGGGACTCCCAGGCCAGCTTGTCCTCAGGGAGCATCAGCCCTGGTGCTGAGTACTCACAACCCCATGGCAGGATACCTAGGGGCAACTGGTGCTGGGCTGGGGAAACTATGTGGGGTCCATGCATGTGTGCCTGGTCTCTTGTCCAGCTCTTACAGGGTCTGGCAGAGAGGTTGAGGCCACATTCCATGGCAGGGTTGGCAGAGGTGGACCAACATGGGGTTCTGCCCAAGGCCCTACTGCCTTCTTTGCTGCAATGGAGCTACAGGGTACATTCCCAGACATTGGGACAGAGGGCTCAGAGGCCCAGAGTGGGGCTGAGGAGATGGGCAGGGCACAGGGGACCCCTAGGAACTCACAGGTTCGCCCTTGGGTCCGCGGGGCCCAGGCCCGCCCTTGGCTCCTTTCACACCGGGGCTTCCGGGGGCTCCGTTGTTGCCTTGGTAGCCCTGTGGAGGCAGGGGACAGTCAGGTTGCGCCCAGCTGGGGCGTGGTGGGCAGCCCCGTGGTCTCCATTGGCACCTGGTCAGGGGGGCTGGCAGTGTCTGGAGGGGCACATGCCCGTGCTTCTCACCCCTTCCCATGTTTTTAGGTCCAGCAGACACTGCTGGTGAGATCAGGCCATGCCTGAGTGGCTGTGTGTCCTGTGGGTGCTGAGTATGCAGGGCCTCACCTTACTGCCTTTGGCCCCGCTGTCCCCTGGGGGTCCTCTGCGTCCTGGGCGGCCAGCGTCCCCCTGGAAGGGTTTGCAGGAGTCAGCCTCAGGCCTCTCAGCAGGATCCAGAGGCATAGGGTACCCAATGGCAGGACAGGATTGGGGCAGGCTTGAGGTACACACTACCCACAATGTCCAGGGAGCACCTGGTATGTCAGAGGCTGGCCAGGGCTGCGGATAGAACTTTAGCCATTGCAGGGTGGTGACCCCAGTCTGCTCTGGCTGTCCTGCACCTCTCTGAGGTTCCCTACCTTGGCACCTTGGTCTCCTTGCTCCCCGGGGCTCCCTGCTTCCCCTGGGTAACCGTCGGGACCCTGAGAGAGAGAATGAGAGATACAAAGCCGCACAGTTTAGTGCTGGGCACAGAGCTTGGGGCTTCAGTTTTCCCCCAGGCCACTTCCACCTGACCCAGAGCCAAATCCATTTTCTGGGCCAGAGAGGCAGCCCTTGCCCTTGTTCAAGGCCCCTGGTTCACACAGAGCCCTACCCTGAGGCCCTGCTGGCCTTTCAGCTGGGAGATAGAGCTGCCTAGAAGCACCACAGCTCCAGACATACTGAGTCTCAAGACTATAGGAGCCCACCAGGCCTAAGCCTGTGATGCAGGGGCTCCTGAGGGTGTCCCAACACGAGCCCTGCCCCCTGCTGAGCCTCATACTGGGGTCAGGGATGGGTGGGAGGGGCTGGGCTGCAGGGAGAGTCAAAGCATTGGTGACACCCAGTTACCCCAGGCAGGCCAGCTCAGCCATGTGTCTCAGGGCAAGGTGAAACCCCACTTACCCTGCTTCCAGGGTCCCCCTTGCAGCCAGGAGGTCCAATGCGTCCCAGTTTGCCCTGAAGAAGGGCAAAAACAGTGTCAGGGTAGGTTCTGGAGTCTTCATGTGCCAATGATGGAGGCTTAAATGTAGGCACAGCCCTAGCCTCTATGTGTGGGTGCACGTGTGTGTGCATGCAAGCATGTCCATGCTATGTGAACTACGAGGGCAGCTGGGGCATCCCCAAGAGATCTGGCCCAGAGATGTGCCCAAGGCTCACTCTACCTTCTGTCCATCAGTCCCATTCTTGCCAGCCAGGCCAGGTGCACCCTGGAAAGAGAAGGATGAGGGGCTCTGTGAGGCCCGATCCCTACATTTGCCAAGCAGCAGGAAAGTACAGCTCTGCCCACCCCCTGGCCCACCACCTGCCTACCTTCCGACCATCTGCTCCAAATTCACCCTGTGCGGAAGGAATTTGAGGCTAGTTAGTATCACAGACAGCACTGCCTCTAGGTGCAAGTCAAAGCCCTCAGGCCAAATATGAAGCCAGAGGAATGCCAGAACCCCTGTGAAAAGCCCAGGTCTGTGCCCCCAGGAGTGACTGGCAGGCTTCGATGGACACTGCTGAGGGAGTCTAGCTGAGGCTGGAGAAAGGTCTAAAGTTCGGCTGTTCAGCACTGCAGACTTACCTTCTCCCCTTTGAAGCCAGGAACACCCTGAGAGCAGAAGAAAGAGCAGGGTATCACTCTAGGGCTCTGTGAGATGTGGGCTAGAGGGCAGCTGGAGCCCGAAGGCTGAGGGTGTGTGTGTGGGCTGTGTCCAGTGACTGGGATTCTAACAATTAGTGGAGGAGGTGAGGCCAGGGGTCAGCTGATGCTTGGCCTTGGGGTGACTGTCAAACTATTGATGTGCTTCTTCTCTTTGGTAATGAAGTGGGGAGGGTGAGCAGGGGGGTACCAGGCTTGCCTGCCCAATGCAACTTGCCTTGGGTCCTGGGAATCCGATGGGGCCTTCGATGCCTGGATCTCCCTGCAGAGGAGCAAAGAGCCCAGATGTGAGCCCAGCTTGTGGGCACGACCGGAGGGTAGGAAGGGACAAGGCTGAGGACACTCACCTGTCTCCCCTTCTGACCAGGCTCTCCTGGCTCACCCATGTTGCCTTTGGCACCCTAAAAGCAGATGACAGAGTAAAGGGTGAACCAAGCAGGTGGCTGGCAACCAGCCAGGAACCTGCCGTTCTCCTCTGAGAAGTAGTTTGAGAAGGTGCTGGACCCAAGGGCAGCTGCTCTAGGGGTGGCCTCCATCAGACCACAGCTTCCTCTGACCTGTCTCCTTGAGTCCTGACAAATAGCCCCTGTGAGGGGCCAGGCACTGGGGTCCTTTTTCACCCAATGGCTGCAGCCACAGCCAGCACTGGGCTCTGACTCCCATTACACTGCCAGGAAGATTAATTAATTCCTCTATGTGAGTGACTTTAGACCAATGAGGACTTTAGGAATGAATATAAAGTTAACATCCCCTTGGAATTATGATTTCAACTATGGGCAGCGCCTGTGGCTCAAAGGAGTAGGATGCCAGCCCCATATACTGGAGGTGGCAGGTTCAAACCCAGCCCCGGCCAAAAACTGCAAAAGGAAAAAAAAAGATTTCAACTGTAATAAAGGACTGTATTTAGTAAGCTCACCTACGTATTAATATGCCTCCAATTTAGGTGCAAAGAGGGGCAGAAGACAGGGAGAATTAAGACAGGGTCAAAGGAGAGAGGAGGGAAGACCATCAGAACTCAGAGGGGGGCAGAAGCTTCTGCAGTATTTCAGGCCCTGTCCTGGGGTCTCCCCACGCCCCTGTCCTCAGTGGTCTCTGTGGCAGCTTCTAGCAACCCCACCCACAGGATGCCCTGCTGCATGAGGCCAGGGCTGGGAGGCAGAATCATTGTAGCTACAGTGGGGTGGGCATTGCTGCCGGGACCAGGAGAAACCCAGGGAAAGGGGTGGCAGGGAGGGTTGGGCCTGTGGCCTGGAGATGTCTCATCCTGGAGAAAGTACCAAATTCCTACTGGTATAGATGGCTTGCAAGGGAGGTTAGAAGAAAATGCAAAGCTACTTAGTAATAACTTCCTTTATGTTACTTTAAATTCTTTGCCTCATCTCAGACATTTCTTTTTCCTCTGCCTTTCTTTATA